CACACACACACACATGAAGACATAGACATATATACATACACACACACGAAGACATAGACATACACACACACACATGAAGACATAGACATATATACACACACACGAAGACATAGACATATACACACACACACACAGATACACACACACACACAGATACACACACGCACACACACAGATACACACACACACACAGATACACACAGTTGGACTGCAGCAGTTCAAGAAGGCAGCTCACTGCCAGTTTCTCAAGGGCAGCTAGGGACAGACAATAAATGCTGGGCCCAGCCAGCGACGCCCACCCCCTACAAATGAATTTTTAAAAACACACAACAATATAGGCACATACACACAACAGGCATACCCATAGACAGATACACAAACAGTCAGACATAGGTATACACAGACACACACATACACACACAGATGCATGCACAGAGTCTGATACTGTACTGATTTATTAATTATGCATGTACTTATTCACATTATTATGCACACAGACACACATATGCACACAAATATAGATATTCACATATGCATACACACAGACATATACACCCATGTATTCACACAGACAGACCAGTTCAGCTTCCTGGGCAGCTGCAAGATTGAAATGCCAGAACTTTCTGTCTACACTTTAATTCTGAGTATCACCTGGTTCGGGCACAGTGCATGAAGGAAAATCTGACGGACAGATCGGATCGCAAGACCGAGAGACACCAACTCCACCACTCCCAGCGCCCACAGAATGAATGGCAGGAGAATCTGTATTTCTCTGGTTTGTTTTCCTCCCCGTTGGGTTCCCGCTTCTCCCCGAGCTGTTTCACCCCTCTCCGGGAGTAAGGACAGAAACCACCCCCTCCCTCAACCCCACTCCCACACTGAACAATCACAGTCAGAATCATCGCAGTCAGAATCATTAAAGTCACATCCAGGATCAGTACAAACACAGTCAGAATCAGCATCAGTACAATCACAGTCAGAATCATTACAGTCAGAATCAGCATCAGTACAATCACAGTCAGAATCATCACAGTCAGAATCAGCATCAGTACAATCACAGTCAGAATCA